GAGGCACTCAGACTTTTTGATGTTTTTCTCTGCAGTCTGGGAGCCCAAAGACACTTTACATGTGTAAACCTTATCCATGTTCCAGTCTGACGCCTGAATGGCCAGATAGCTGCTGATGTGGAACGTCTGATCAGGTTGCTTAACAGCGGTGCTGGTAGAGATCCCAGTGACCACTGGACTCCCTCCAGACATCCAGGTCACATCTGCAAAAGGCCCAGACTGACTGGACAGACAGACCAAAGAGGCTTTGTTGGACTGCAGCTCAGCACTGGACGGAGGAAAGACAGTGAGGACGGGAGGACGGAGGCTGGAGCCTGAAACACACAAAAGGCATTCTTTAAATGAAGGGAAGTGGAGTTATTGATGCAAATCATGGCGGCAAAAGGAATCTGTTAGTAAGTTGAGGAGAAAGACAAAAAAACATTTAGAAACCATCAGAGCAGAGTTCAAAAACAAAGTGTATCATTCACACACTAGATAATACAACGAGATGTTCTGTATTGTTCATGTTAAATACAGTTATATTTGTACTTAGTATTATATGTATCTTAATCTCCTTTGTAGTTGTTAGAATACAGTGAAACAGAACTGACCTCGGGTTATTTATCTTACTATCAAAGCAAAACTACATTTTTAAAATTCAGCAATTGTGGTGTTAAAACTAAATAATAAAGATACATTAAAGTTAGCCCTTCATTTTAAAAGATTAGTAGTTAATCATCACAAACTCAGTAAATTAATATTCAGACTTTAACATTGACCATGTTAAAGTATGATGTTGTTAAAATTGTTTTTAAATGTTAGTTATCAGTGAGTAGCAGAAATCAATATAGTAAAAAAAAATTTCAACAAAAATTGTCTGCTAAAAAACAACTTGTTAAGAAAGTAGATGAACAAAATCCAACTTGTTAAATATCTTCAAAAAGTATAACAAATAAAATAACAACATATTACATAAATCTCTGTTAAATGAAGTAGAAACAAAAGAATCGCTTACGTTTTAAGAAGAGATTTAAAAGTACTTACTTGTCACAATCAGCTTGGTTCCTTGTCCGAATACCCACAGTGATTCAGTTGGTACACATGGCTGTACAAAAACCTCTCGACTCGCTCTGATGACGGAGTGGAACTGAAAGATCCTGTTGAGACCAACTTTCATTGTCACCATCTCACTAACTTCATCAGTTTGATTTGCTCCAGACTGAATTGTCTCTTCACAGGAATTGATTTGTTGTCCTTCAATGTTTTGAAGCAGTTTCCCTTATTTGATGTGTCTGATTTAGCTGAGAATCAATAAATCTTCAGTAGATCTCTGATGGAGGTTTTTGTCACAGTGTGAACCACTGTGATACAGCTTCACGAGCAGAGTCATCCCATGTCTGACAGTAATACTGAGCATAGTCTCCTGTCTCTAAACGCTTTATGATGAACTGGTATTCTGTGTCTGAAGAAGATTTAGAGTTGAACCGGTCTGAAGAGAATCCTGATCCAAAGACTGGAGCACTGTTCCCATGGTCAAAACTGAGAACATACTGAGGAGCTTCACCAGGAACCTGTTTGTACCAGTGGACATAATTTCCATCATATCTCTGAATGTTGCAGTTGAGGACAACCTCTTGTCCTGTAGGAACTGAGTGGACAGCAGGCGTCTGAGTCAGCACTATCGCTGCATCAACATCTGTCAACACACAGAGAAAAGTCAGGGGAAAGGTTTGTGCATGAAAACATGGAGCATGAAATGAATGGAAGAATATCTTACATGTGAGAGCAGTGAGCAGAGTGCAGAGGATCCCCAGCATGTTGTCAGTGTGAGCTGTAAACGTTCCTTACAGTCCAGCTGAGAGGTGAGCAGGGCGGGAGTGTGAGGAGAAGAAACACTGAGGCTTATAAAGACAGTGAGGAGGAGCTTAAACACTTGATTCACTTGTTACACATAAACACACATTGTGTGAGTCACATCAACACTTTTCATAAATTCTGTTGATCATAAAGACGTGTTTATTTTGTTTTTGCAAGTCTGCTAATGTCATTTGAATATTATATGTAGTCAAGGAATTACTTTAATTAAATATTTGCAATATATTTATTTTTTCAGTATTCAGTGTGCTCATAGTTTTAGAGTCAATGTTATTGTCATTTGTTTGTCCTTGTTGTTGTAAACAATGATTTCTATAGTGTATACATGGAAAACTATTAATAACTACCACTAAGTAAGATTTATATTTAGTATGATGAATAAATGGGTTTATAAGAAATATAAGCTACAGAAATTGACTGATGGTTTCACTCAAAATGTGTCAGCGTCTCAAAAAGCAGAAGTACTCAGTGAAGAGGTTTTTGTCACAGTGTAAATCACTGTGATACGGACTGATCAACAGAGTCGTCCCATGTGTTACAGTAATAGACGGCTGAGTCTCCCTCCTCGATGTTCTTTATGGTCAAACGATAATCTGTAGTTGACTGATGAGTGGATGTGAACTTTGGAGATGAGAAACCAGTGCCATAGAATGGAGAGCTGTCGCCGTGATAAAAAAATATTACAAACTGAGGAACTCCTCCTGGAATCTGTTTATACCAGCGAGCAGCACTGTCAGAATCAGTCCCGAGGTTACAGTCTATGGAGACTGTCTCTCCTGTCGTCACGGCTACAACAGGCTTCTGTGTCACCACCGTCACACCACTCACACCTGGAAACAACAAGACGACATGGAGTCAAGAGAAACACACACACTGATGAGTCCACCATGAAGTCCAAGCTGCAGGAAGTCAGCCTCCTCACATGTGAGAGCAGTGATGAGAGTGCAGAGGGTCCCCAACATGGTGTCAGTGTGGGATGAGAATGGCCTTGTGACTTGGAAAGAGACCTGACTGCTGCCAGATTAGAGGCTTTGGAGGATGAGGAGAGGAGGTGCTGGGGGAGACATTTAATACGACACTGAAGGTGGGAGTGACTGACAGGGGGAGGAGCTTAGCTTCAACCTGCATGTTTCTCACAGTTGTGTTATTCGTCATCATTATTATCAGTGGAGGTTATTTCCCTCAACACCATTGCAAAGAAGGGATCTGAATATATTTACCTGCAGTTTTGTAGTAATACAGTTAGTCCTGTTTGTATCGTTTGGAATTCATGGCATACATCCCAATTGTTTATATTTCTTTTCTTTAATAGTTGAGGAATATTATTTTTTTCACAAGTTAAAAGAGTCACCTTGCAAAAGGTCGCTTTTCTCACACGTACAATAACGAGATCATACATCAGTGTTTCCAGTCATGCGCAGGATCACAGAGAACTGAGACTTAACCTCTTCATTTGCATGAGGTTAAATAAAGACAGGAGGCCTGCAGGTGCATCCTGCACATCAGAAAGGGTTGAACAATGAACCGTGACTTCCACTGAAATCTAGTGTTGCTATTCTCATTTTCAAGTGTGTGTTTCCTTTTAAGTGATTTAAATCAGTAACAGTTCCCTCTGTGTCTTTCCAACAGCAATCCAGTGCTGCTCTCTACTGTGCATTCAAAAAGAGTAACAACACCTGACCTCCATCGTGTTAATGTGAAAACCAACCGAAGTAAAACAAATTATGTTTCTGTCACGGGGGTGAGGGTGGAGGCAGGACTCAAGACGCAGAGTTCAAAACAAAAGGGACTTTAATAGTCAAAAATCAAAAAAAAGGCCAAGGGGCAAAAACACACAGGCATGAACTACGGACATCCAAGACAAAAGACAAGGACATGCGTGGCAAATGACAATGACGCGACAAGTGACACAGGAGACACACGGCTTAAATACACAAGGGAGGTGCAGGTGATTGGACACAGGTGGAAACTATTAGACGATCACAGGGGATGACGGGACAAGGCAGGAAGTGAAGTTACCCGGGGACACGAGTGGCAGAAAACTACAAAATACAACAGGAAGTGAAACCACACCGTGACAGTTTTATCTTAGGAATATGTTTGTACTCCAGTGATCTCATTCATTTTCTTGTATCGATCATTGAAATACTTATACATATCCCGAGGGCGGTACGGTGGCGTGGTGGTTCGCACTGTCGCCTCACAGCAAGAAGGTCCGGGGTTCGGCTCCGTCCAGTGGCCTTTCTGTGTGGAGTCTGCATGTTCTCCCCGTGTCTGCGTGGGTTCTCCGGCTTCCTCCCACAGTCCAGAGACATGCTCTGGGGATCAGGTTGATTGGGGTATCTAAATTGCCTGAAGGTGTGTGAATGTGAATGGTTGTATGTCTCTGTGTTAGTCCTGCGATTGGCTGGCGACCAGTCCAGGATGTACCCTGTCTATCGCCCGAAGTTGACTGGGATGGACTGCTATTCCTGATAGCAGTCGTAATTTAGAATGGAAAATATTTTATTTTGAAGCTTGAGAGACAAGTGGTGCTTCTCAACAATCCTAGTTTTTTACGATTGAATATACCCGGAAATCTAAACAATTATCCAAACCGTACACTCAAAGAGCCAAACTCGCATTTGCACCACTATGAGCACAATGTCAGCCTCACAGTTTGCAAAACACTAAACATACTTCTATACATCACACACAGAAGTATATCAAGATGTCACTTCCTTGCAATTCCAAAGCACTGATTGTCAAATTACCAAACCCAGGTGCCAATTGGTTAAACACAGCCGTCACGTGCGCAAACACAAGATTGAGTTCATTTTTTTTCAATTGCTAACAAGCAACAAGCAGAAAACACATTTTTAAAACTCTTCACACATTCAGCAACACACAAGTGTATACGGACCAAATAGTGAATCAATGAAACATTTCATTGCTTTCAGAATGCAAAATACATTCAATCACCACATTTTTCAAAATCCACAAACACTTTTGTCATTCACACTCCACAAACTGCACATTTGCAGGATATTTTTCATATGCTAACAAACTGCTTTCAAGACATCACATTAAAATCAGAATGGCGACAAATTTTAAACATTTCTGTAGTAACTATTTTGAGATATAGAAAGTCCAACCCAGGTCCTGCTTTACTCTCATTACCATGTTTCAGTAAAAGGCGATAGCTTGGAACTGACTTTGTTTGGAAATATGGATCACAGAAGGCCGGTCGGTGGGGAAAGAAGAGTGAGGGAGAGTGTGTGGAGGACAAAGGAGAGGAAGACCAAGAGCGCTGATATCTGAAGAAATACTGTAAATGTTGTGAACGTGGTCTCACTGTGAGAGACGCCGGTCTGAGGCTGCAGCCAAATCTGCACCACTCAGTTACGTCAATAGAGAGAATTTTCCAGCAAAACAACAGGTGAGATGATACATATTACAGTAAAATAGTCTACATTTGGAAACCTATTACAATACAGTAATTGTTGTGTTTTAGGATGTTGCTAGTGTTTTTTATGTAGTGTGTTATGAGTGACATGCATGTTTTCTGAATGAAAACATGTTGCCACTGATCGGTGGAACGAGATTGTTTTCAGAGATGTATGAAGTTTTGTCTGGGTGAGTTTTGGAGGTTAGATTTACTTTTTGGCCAAAAGGAATCTTGATACTACAGACTGTGTGAAGAGTTTTCAAAGTGTGGTTTCAGTATTGAACAATGCTTGTTAGCAATTGAAAAACACTGTAATTGTAGACACACCAATCAGGTTTAAGTTCACCTGTTTTCCCAAAATGGAAGGAAGGAGAAGAGTGAGGGTGAGAGGAGGAATCCAGGGAGGAGGAGGAGGTGGACAGATCCAGCTAGACGAAGAGACAACGTGTATCATTTTCTGTATCCTTTCTTTGTACTGGATGCAATGGGACTTGTTTCTTGTCATAAGCCACTCTGTAGAAATAATCCATATTTTCAGTTCCGTCACTATTACACTCAGCTTTACACTGGTACTCCTTTAACTATTCTGGGGCCTTTCTTTGTCTCGTAGGGTATCTTTTCTCCCTCGTCTCTCTGAGTGCTATCTGTCTGCGTTGGGCCTGCCTCACCAATCTCCTCAACATTTGACTCCTTATGCCGTCCCTGACCCTGGTTGACGGTCTTCTATGGTGTTTCTCATCAATCTCAATGTCTCCCCCCATGTCACTATCTGCCTGAGTTTGGCTGGCTGTGCCCCGTTTAGTGATGAATTTCACCAGTTTGTGTTTTAGGACTTTTCCTGTCTCTGGACAATATATGTTATATGCTGGACTATATTTGTCATAGCCTACAAATATCCCCTTTTTGCATCTGGAATCCAGCTTTTTCTTATCCTGCTGACATACGTAGCATTCAGAGCCAAATATCTGATAAGGTGTCTGCTCTAGCCCCTTACTGTAGCACCTGTTGCGGATTTGAGCTGCACAATTGCTTTGGGAGGTTACTCTCCACTAGCATGCATCGAGACATCTCGAATAAGGTTCTCCAACCTCTTTCGGCATTCTGATGAGGTGAGTAAGGTGCACCCTTCTCGTGCCTTATCCCGTTACTCCTAAGTAAAGACTGGAACTCCTGCCCGGTGAACTCTGTGCCGTTATCAGATCTCATGCACTTTATCGTTCCATATGGAGCTCACATCTGCTATGAATTTTTCTGTAGCTTTTGTCGTGTCACTCTTTGCTTTAATAAAGTATGGAAAAATGCTATTGCATATCTGTATCCATCTTCATCTGCTAGTTCTATAGAACCGCATAGGTCTGTGTGTACTAGCTCTAGTACGGTTGGAGCTTTAGCGTCTGCCTGTTTGTTTCTGCTTTCTGTAAACTCACCCTGTGTGCATATTTCACAGTTTTGATTGGACTTGTCCTGTTTCCCTTTTATAGACATTCCTTCAACCACCTTCTCTAATTTTGCAACCAATCATCAGAATTGCAATGACCATGAAGTATCTTATGCTACGTTTGAATGTCATGACAACCACACACTTCATCAACCTGTTCATCCTCTACAGTGCTAAGGTAATACAGCCTACCACACACGTCCATCTTGAACTTGGTACCATCCTTGAGGATCAGCAAGTCATTACCGTCCTTGAAGCGGACCTCAGCTCCGTTGGCCGTCGCTGCTTTGACTGAAAAGATGTTTTGTGGAAACGATGGGATGTAGAGTGCTTGCTTGAGCCTCATTTTCAAATTTGTGCGCCCCTCGACCGACAAACCGACATTTGCGAAATTTCGTTTCCCAGAGCTCGTATCTTTTCTCATCACCGTCGAATGAAAGTCTGAACCACCTTTGGCCTGCATGACTGGGCCCATAACCTGTAGCGTTAGACATCCTGCAGCAGTCTATTGTTAGTACAGTCACCAAAGTGGTTAGATAATACCTCCTAGTATGATATTCACGGGAGAAAAAGCACAGACGGCCATTGTCTCTTTGGTCTGGGAACTCACAATAGTGTTTATTTTGCGCATGCTCACAACGACATCCTCGTAGTGATAATCAAAAGTTCTTTTCTATGGGCTTAGTTGGGGGTTTGCTGTCTTGTCTTGATTGTCTTGTCTTGATGAAGAGTTAGGTAAGGGGGGAAGCAGGATGTGCCGAGCAGGCAGACACGAGTCTGAAAGGATGGGGAGTCAGTTTATGTCCTGGCTGAGGAATGCAAGGACTGCGGGTCAACTAGCAGATTTACCAGCCAAGGGGGGTTAGAGACACATCAACACTATTCAACATACACACTCTGTTCGCTGATGTTTACGTTAAGTCAGGAGTCTGGACATTGGATGTGACCGGATCTTAGATGCGGGAGGTGGAAGGTCCTCCTCTACGCCAGTTTAGGGCCAATAGAAATCTTTCCTTCTCTGTCTTTCAAGGGTTATAAAACATTATGTTCTTGCTGATGTGAGTGAGTTGTTCTTCCGGCCTGTGTGCTGCCTGAACTGCTCCTGCCTTTGCAAACGCAGCGCTGATACTTGACCTGTGATCTGACAAATAAATTTCCCAGAACGAGAGAAGTCGTTTGGCTGAATTTTTGATAACCCCGACCAGGTTCCAATTCTTGAACACGTATTCTAACAGTAGGCACACGTGCTCCAATGGGAAATCACTGGACAGGTTACCCACATAACTTTGCCACTCATATTATTAAATATGCTCAAACATATTTTTTACAAGAGTGTTTCATTTTGCAAAGGCTCTGAGGTGTTTTGCGAATTGAGTTTGTGTGTGTGCTAATTGTGTGCACTGTTTTGGAAAACAAAGCAAAACCATACTACATCGGGATGATATTCTAACCCATTAAGAAAAACATAAATCTCAAAATTACTTTGCAAACCTCATTCACAACCATCTTCCTCCTCCTCTCTTAAACAATGGGTTAGAACCTTAACAATATTCTAACCCATTAAGAAAAACATAAATCTCAAAATTACTTCTTCCTCCTCCTCTCTCCCTTCCGTACTGCTACCAGATGCACTATTACGCTTCCCGACTCGTTTATATTTCCCTACTTCAGTCCATTCATGTAATCCATCTCCTTACTCTCACCCTCTCCGTCACTGTTCCCTCCCATAGTTCCGTTGCAGATAAATAAATGGCAAATTCGCTAATATGTTTCACTCGATCGCTCTCTAACTTCCTTCTCCGTTGTCCTGGACCCCTCCAGACCCGTCTCCTTCCTGCCCTCCTGCCACGCTGTTGGCCATTTCCTTACTGCCAGAGCTCCCCATTGGTCCCCTTAAAGTAAATGAGCCTCTGCAGGTGCAGGAGATCTGTCACGGTGTGGTTCACTTCCTGTTGTATTTTGTAGTTTTCTTCCACTCGTGTCCCCGGGTCACTTCACTTCCTGCCTTGTCCCGTCATCCCCTGTGATCGTCTAATAGTTTCCACCTGTGTCCAATCACCTGCCCCTCCCTTGTGTATTAAAGCCGTGTGTCTCTTGTGTCACTTGTCGCGTCATTGTCTTTCGTCGTGGATGTTCATAGTTTCCTGCCTGCTGGTTTCCCCCTGGTTCCTGTGTGTTTTTGCCCCTTGGCCCTTTGCTTTTCCCTTTTTGACAATTAAAGTCTTTTGTTTCTGGATCAGTCTGCGTTTGAGTCCTGCCTCCCGCACGCATCCCTGACAAGATCATTGAGTGCAATCTACTTAAATGAGGGTTAAAATAGTGTAAAATTTACGCTTGGTGAAATGGTTATAAAAACATGCTAAAATCAAAACAAACCATTAAAATGTATTAAAAGAATGATTCACAGCAACAACCCAATCTACACAGCGATATGGCCTGATGTCCTGCAGGTGTCACTTTTATCAAGTGACCTCCGTTATTTCCGTATTTCGTCCTGTTGTTTCCTGCGTATGACGAGGCTGTTTCTGCTTAACACAATATCCGGATTTTCATGGTTAAATTGGATTTCTCTTTTATATTTTCATTATAAACAACGTTCCTCTTTCACCACTTGAGGTCTCCACTGAGAGCTCAGATGAGGGCTCCTGACAAGGGGACAATCAAGGGGTCAAAGGTGATCAGAGCCAGGAGAAGAGGACCACAGAGACAAGAGACCGATCAGGCTCATGCATCAACCAAGTGTTATTGTGCTTATTTTCAAGCAATTGGTTGGTGTAGTTTAATTGAGGAGTGAAATGCGAGAAGAGGTCACATGCTCATGCTTGATTTAGAAAAGACACATTTTTCTTTTTTATAAAAAGACACATTCAACCACAAGGTGGCAGCTTGAATTAATTTTATCTTTCCCTCTCTAGTTATCACAGTATGTATATATGTAATATATATATATATATATATATATTTAATGTGTGTGTAAAAATAACTTTGATTAAAAACATATAAATTGAAAATTGTAACTATCTCCACATGTATCATTTTTCCACCAGTAGGACAAAAGACTTTTAGTTGTTGTTAATCATTCCCGTACACTATCAATGGTGGTGGAGCTGCCAGACGCTGGACCAACCTTTGGGGAAAAGGGTCCTGAGATTAAAGCACACTGTGACTTGTGGACTGAGGGAGCGGGTTGGACCACCTGCTGGGAACTACAACCAGTTTCAGTGGAATACTTTAATGTCAATTATTTTACAGTGCATCTATATCAAATTGCCTCATGAGAGTTGCTGTGTATCTGTATCCTGATTAGCATCAGCAAGATGACAGAAAGTTTTCGCAAATTCTTTTTTATTTCTGACAGTAAAATTGACTCAACACAACGAGAACTGATAATTTCATTATCGGAGGAAACCAACCATCATGAAAAATTGACAAATTAAAACATGTTTCACCATAATGCTGATATGTTTGGTACTAAACTCACTACATCCAGAATGTGAAATAACTCAGTTGCAATGAAATGTTTGAATATTAAATAAAATGAGCAAACGAAACTTCATCCTCATCCTCTATCAGTGAAGCATCACCTCTCTACTCCCTCCTTCTTTCCCAGGATGCACCTGCAGGCCTCCTCTTCTTATTCATAGCTCCATGTAAATGAGGAGGTCGAGTCTCAGCACACAAGAGGTAACTGTATTTGACTTCTGACGAGGTTTGTTAATAACAATTGACCTGTTTAAGTTCTTAGATTGCGTTTATGTGTGCAGAGCTAAGTGCTATATCTAGTTAAACTACTGTACTATAAATATACAAAATTGGAGGCTTATCATGAATTCCAATCAATAGAGACAGGACTAGGCCACAACTATACAACTACAAAACTGCAAAAAATGTCTAACACAACTGTGAGAAACATGCAGGTTGAAGCTAAGCTCCTCCCCCTGTCAGTCACTCCCAGCTTCAGTGTCGTATTAAATGTCTCCCCCAGCACCTCCTCTCCTCATCCTCCAAAGCCTCTAATCTGGCAGCAGTCAGGTCTCTTTCCAAGTCACAAGGCCATTCTCATCACACACTGACACCATGCTGGGGACCCTCTGCACTCTCATCACTGCTCTCACATGTGAGGAGGCTGATTTCCTGCAGCTTGGACTTCATGGTGGACTCATCAGTGTGTGTGTTTCTCTTGACTCCATGTCGTCTTGTTGTTTCCAGGTGTGAGTGGTGTGACGGTGGTGACACAGAAGCCTGTTGTAGCCGTGACGACAGGGGAGACAGTCTCCATAGACTGTAACCTCGGGACTGTTACTGACCGTGCTGCTTTCTGGTATAAACAGATTCCAGGAGGAGTTCCTCAGTTTGTATTATATTATCATCACAGCCACAGCTCTCCAACATATGGCACTGGTTTCTCATCTCCAAAGTTCACATCCACTCATCAGTCAACTTCAGATTATCGTTTGACCATAAAGAACATCGAGGAGGGAGACTCAGCCGTCTATTACTGTAACACATGGGACACCTCTGGAAATGTATCACAGTGATTTACACTGTGACAAAAACCTCTTCACTGAGTACTTCTGCTTTTTGAGACGCTGACACATTTCAAGTGAAACCATCAGTCAATTTCTGTAACTTATATTTCTTGTCTTTTAAAACCTCTAAACTCCATTTATTTAATTGTGACACAAAGATTTTGTTTGTAGTTATTCATAGTTTGCCATGTGTACACACTTTAAAACAAAACTGTTCTTTAATCAAAAGAACGTGCGTGACGTCACTGCCTTCAGACGGGGTGAGTTTATGAAGGTTCTTAGAAGGTTCTATCACAACGATGTTGTTTGTTATCGCGCTTTTGTTGGTGGATACACGGCGTATACCTTCCTATCACGTAGACTACACCACTGGCTGCACTTCATCTTGCCATTATTGTCAGCTGTCAACAAGGGTGAGACGTTTGAGACGGCAATGTGAAGAACTGGACGACTCTGCGTAAGCAGTCGTGTTTCTGCCGCGTGGACACCTGCGGCTTATAGACCGGTGCAGCTTATTTATGTAGACACCTTTTTTCGTTGTCAATTTAAGTGGTGCGGCTTATATTCGAGTGCACTCTATAGTCCAGATTTTATGGTAAAAGTCAACAAGGACAAACAAATGACAATAAGTGGTGCTCGCTGGTATAAACAGATTCCAGGAGGAGTTCCTCAGTTTGTAATACATTTTTATCACAATTGGAGCTATTTCCTACGCGGCACTGATTTCGCATCTCCAAAGTTCACATCCACTCATCAGTCAACTTCAGATTATTGTTTGATCATGAAAAACATTGAGGAGGGAGACTCAGCCGTCTATTACTGTCAAACATGGGACACCTCTGTTAATGAGGGCGTATCACAGTGATTTATACTGTGACAAAAACCTCTACACTGAGTACTTCTGCTTTTTTAGACGCTGACACATTTTGTAACTTAGATTTCTTGTAAACAGACATTTTTAAAACATATTTTAATACAAAATCTATAGAATAGAATAATTAGAATAAAAATAATTTTTTAATGTGATGCAAGAAACACATACACGTAAATCCATATATCCTATTTTTAAACCAAAAGTGGTTAAATCTCCTTACTTATCTTCTCTCCTCAGTCTCT